AAAAATGGATGTAAATGGACAAAAACGGATGTAATCAGATAAAAAACAGATGAAAATGGACAAAAACTGATGAAAATGGATATAAATGGACAAAAATGGAAGTACAAGGATGAAAAATGGATGTAAATGGACAAAAATGAATGTAATCAGATGAAAACAGATGTACATCCGTTTTTGTCCATTTTCATCTGTTTTCATCTGATTGCATCCGTTTTTGTCCATTTTCATCTGTTTTCATCTGATTACATCCGTTTTTGTCCATTTACATCCATTTTTCATCCTTGTACATCCGTTTTTTGTCCATTTTCAAGGATGAAAAATGGATGTAAATGGACAAAAGCAGATGTAATCAGATGAAAACGGACAAAAATGGATGTAAATGGACCAAAAAATGGATGTAAAAATTTTGCAAAAGCAGAGACCATGGAGAATAAAATTGGGGTAGTCACAATTTTTAAGTCGCACGATATTTGCGCATTTATTTTTTAAACGCATATTGATTACAATGAAATGAACACAGTTTTTTATTCCAGGTACTTATATTGCGCCATCAATGTACGCAGCGCTTTACATATATATTGTACATTCCCATCAGTCCCTAACCCAGGCGTTCCGTATGTTCGTTTTTCATCTCTCCATTTACGGATGGAAAATGGACCCCCATGTATTTCTTTGGACTTGCAGATGTAAACGGATAATCATTTGTTTACATTCAGTAATGTCCGCATCCGTTTTCATCTATTTTTGTGAACAGAAGAAAACCCTATTTAAAAAAAAAACACGGAACGGACGGAAAATGGATGTAAAACAGACAAATAATGGGATGTAAATGGACCAAAACAGATGTAAACGGACAGAAAATAGATGTAAATTGAAAAAAAAATAGATTTAAACGGATGTATAAGGACGAAGATGGATGTAAACAGAAAAAAAATGGGATGTAAATGGCCAAAAACTGATGTAAACGGATGAAGATGGATGTAAACAGGCAAAAAAAATGGGTTGTAAATGGATGAAAACGGATGAAAAAAATGGTACGCCCGTGTGAAAGGGGCCTAACCCTCAAGGGGCGTACAATCTAAGGTCCCTAACCCTCAAGGGGTGTACAATCCAAGATCCCTAACCCTCAAGGGGTGTACAATCCAAGATCCCTAACCCTCAAGGGGCGTACAATCCAAGATCCCTAACCCTCAAGGGGCGTACAATCCAAGATCCCTAACCCTCAAGGGGCGTACAATCCAAGATCCCTAACCCTCAAGGGGCGTACAATCTAAGGTCCCTAACCCTCAAGGGGCGTACAATCCAAGATCCCTAACCCTCAAGGGGCGTACAATCCAAGATCCCTAACCCTCAAGGGGCGTACAATCCAAGATCCCTAACCCTCAAGGGGCGTACAATCCAAGATCCCTAACCCTCAAGGGGCGTACAATCTAAGGTCCCTAACCCTCAAGGGGCGTACAATCAAAGGTCCCTAACCCTCAAGGGGCGTACAATCTAAGGTCCCTAACCCTCAAGGGGCGTACAATCTAAGGTCCCTAACCCTCAAGGGGCGTACAATCTAAGGTCCCTAACCCTCAAGGGGCGTACAATCTAAGGTCCCTAACCCTCAAGGGGCGTACAATCTAAGGTCCCTAACCCTCAAGGGGCGTACAATCCAAGATCCCTAACCCTCAAGGGGCGTACAATCTAAGGTCCCTAACCCTCAAGGGGCGTACAATCTAAGATCCCTAACCCTCAAGGGGCGTACAATCTAAGGTCCCTAACCCTCAAGGGGCGTACATCTAAGGTCCCTAACTCACATTCTAACATACACGTACTAGGGACAATTTAGACAGGAGCCAATTAATGTCCCAGCATGTCTTTGGCGTGTGGGAGGAAACTGGAGTACCCGGAGGAGACCCACGCAGGCACAGGGAGAACATGCAAACTCCATGCAGGTGGTGCCGTGGTTGGGATTTGAACCGACAACGCAACACAAATACGGAGTTGTCGGGTAAATAGATACCAAACATGTCATGTTTTACAATTGTGCGCACTCCATGGAATTACAAGACACAACGGAACCCCAAATCTCCACAGACGACACTAAGACCCGGTTCACACCGATGCGGCGCGGGGAAATGCTGCGAGTCCAGCGCGCTTCCTGCACCGCATTGCAATCACAGGGCGTTCATGTGATCTGGTGCGGGTGTCAGTGATAAATTAATGACACCCCGAGACATCCCAAAATGTGATGCTAGAACACCCATGAGATGAGAGAACACCCGTGTGACGTGAGAACACCCGTGTGATACGAGAACACCCATGTGATACGAGGACACCCGTGTGATACGAGGACACCCGTGTGATACGAGAACACCCATGTGATACGAGGACACCCGTGTGATACGAGAACACCCATGTGATACGAGAACACCCCGTGTGATACAAGGACACCCGTGTGATACAAGGACACCCGTGTGATACAAGGACACCCGTGTGGTGAGAGAAACACCCATGTTGTGAGAGAACACCCATGTGATGAGAGAACACCCATGTGATGCAAAAAAGGGTTCGGATGCGATTTTGAACCATAAAAAGTGAATGACTCAAACTTTTGAAGCGTCGCCTATAGAAAATACAGGGGACAGACGTTTGTCGCCATTTCTCCGGCGCACACAAATGTAAGGTTTGGCATGTTGGGTGTCTTTATACTCGGCGCAGCCTCGTCTTTTATATTTTACTAAAAATTTGGTAGTATATTGCGTTTGTTTGCCCTAAAATTCACTTTATTGTGTTTTCTTACTGAAACTTGGCGTTTCTTAGACCTTGGCGATAATATCGCGTGACATTAAAAAATTAGAACCACCGCTATTTTATCCTCCGGGGTCTCTGCTGTCAGAAAATATATCCTGTTTGGGGGGTTTTGTGTCATCTTCAGGCCTGAAATCATATTTTAAAGCATGACCTAAGGAGCATTTGGGGGACCGTGGGGGGGTTCCTGATTTCACAGGAATGCAAAATTTTACAGTGTTCCTGAACCCCCAACAGTACAATCAGTCTGTAGATGCAGTAAAGCACGCTTGTTATATGTGGGACCTAAGGGGTTAATCCTCTGCAATGTGTAAAAAAGGCTGCTTGATCCTGTCTTCTCTGATCCTCCCCTTCTTCCAGCACCCCCCTCTTATCTCCTGATAAGACATATCATGTGGAGTCACTCTGCACATGCTCAGTTTGGTGTTATAGCTAGAGACTATGTGATCAGCACAGGGCCAATCAGCACTGTCCAGACAGAGGTCAGGGGTTCTGCATCCTCCTAGAGCAGAATGAAAAACTCCTCCTACAAGCTTTAACCAGTACTGTGTGAGACCAGATATAGTGAATGCAGGGTCCTATATCCGCTCTCCCCCACAGACCCCGCATTCACTATATCCGCTCTCCCCAGACGCCGCATTCACTATATCCGTTCTCCCCGGACCCCGCATTCACTATATCCGCTCTCCCCGGACCCCGCATTCACTATATCCGCTCTCCCCGGACCCAGCATTCACTATAACCGCTCTCCCCGGACCCCGCATTCACTATATCCGCTCTCCCTCTCCCCGGACCCCGCATTCACTATATCTGCTCTCCCGGACCCCGCATTCACTATATCCGCTCTCCCGGACCCCGCATTCACTATATCCGCTCTCCCCCGGACCCCGCATTCACTATATCTGCTCTCCCCAGACCCCGCATTCACTATATCCGCTCTCCCCGGACCCCGCATTCACTATATCCGCTCTCCCCGGACCCCGCATTCACTGTATCTGCTCTCCCCGGACCCCGCATTCACTGTATCCGCTCTCCCCAGACCCCGCATCCACTATATCCGCTCTCTCCGGACCCCGCATTCACTATATCCGCTCTCCCCCCGGACCCCGCATTCACTATATCCGCTCTCCCTGGACCCCGCATTCACTATATCCGCTCTCCCCGGACCCTGCATTCACTATATCTGCTCTCCCCGGACCCCGCATTCACTATATCCGCTCTCCCCGGACCCCGCATTCACTATATCCGCTCTCCCCGGACCCTGCATTCACTATATCCACTCTCCCCGGACACTGCATTCACTATATCCGCTCTCCCCGGACCCCGCATTCACTATATCCGCTCTCCCTGGACCCCGCATTCACTATATCCGCTCTCCCCGGACCCCGCATTCACTATATCCGCTCTCCCCGGACCCTGCATTCACTATATCCACTCTCCCCGGACACTGCATTCACTATATCCGCTCTCCCCGGACCCCGCATTCACTATATCCGCTCTCCCTGGACCCCGCATTCACTATATCCGCTCTCTCCCTGGACCCTGCAAGGGGAGGATCAGAGAAGACAGGATCAAACAGCCTTTTTACACAATGCGGAGGATTAACCCCTTAGGTCCCACAGTGAGTATAACAAGCATGCTTTCCTGCATCTACAGACTGATTGTACTGTTGGGGGTTCAGGAACACTTTCCCTCCATAATTATGATCTGTAATGACTGGTAAAGCGCCACCTGCGGGACAATTCTGAGTACTGAAGATTGTCGCCGTTTCACAAGTGTGCGCAATTTTAAGGCTCGACACGTTTGGTATCTCGTTACTTGGGGTGATAAATTGATTAAGTAAAACCAGAAAGTGCAAAATCTGCTGCAGCGGTGCCTGGGAGCCAATCGGCTTCTACTTTCAGCTGGTTCAGTGAGGCTTTGACCGTACAACCTTGAAGCTGATTGGCTCCTGTGCAGAGCTGCTCCAGATGTTGCACCCTCCAGTTTTATTAAATCAATAAAATGCGTAGTAAAATGAACGTCGGTGTAACTTCTGCGGAACATACGCGTTTGATAAACATGCGCGCCAATATCACGCAACATGCGACGGCCGCCATTTTATTCTTGAGGGTTATCGCTTTCAGAAAGGAAAAATGCAGAAACAGCCGTGGCAGCGAAGGGGTTAACATACATGACACGTGATCGGAGCGGAGCGGCCGGCATACCTTCCATGATGGATATGTGTACGGCTCTCCTGCGAGTCCGCGGAACGCTGCTCAAACCGCAGTCCATGGCTGATGGAGGGACAACTGCGACTCGGGACCATCCCCGCCCTGTGACGGCACACATGGGGTTAGCACTGCGATCCAATACATCCGTACTACACGCCTCCACCTGAGGGGGGCGCAATGACCTCACATGTTCCTGGAAGTGTTACATTGTATCCGGATATCTTCCTGGATGTACAATGACAAGAGAGATTCCGGGCGGGGCACACTATAGAAACGCAGTCTGGGTGCCTTCCGCGTGCCATTTTGTATGCGTGTTCTGGTGCGTTTTTGATTCATTTTTTACCTGTTCCACTGCGTTTTTTATGCATTCCAGTCTATTTAAACTAAAGAAAAAGAGTGAAGAAAAAAAATGAAATGGGTTGCATAAAAAACGCAGTGGAACAGGTAAAAAATGAATCAAAAACGCACCAGAACGCGTCAAAAATGCACCACAACATGCCAAAAATGCGCATGCAAAAACGCATCCGGAACGCATGTGGACTGTGATTCTATAGTACAAACCGACAACATGTGTTTCAGTTGCTGGAACCAGGGGCAGACTGACAACTCATGGGGCCCCCGGGCAGTATGGGATCATGGGGCCCCTGTGTCCTCGCTCACACCCAAAAAAGCCTATGAAAATGCCAATAAAAGGTACCAGGGGCATTTCATGGGGCCCCCTACTGACCCCGGGCCCTCAGGGCAGTTCACCAGTGCTTGAATGGTCAGTCTGCCCCTGGCTGGAACGCAGTAAAGCACATAAAAAAACGCACATGTCTCTATTTAGGACCGGTTCACACTCCATGCATTTCAGTTTTTTTTTCTGCATCCAAAACGCATAGAAAGTTGGTGATATGGTTGTCAGTGTCATCGGTCACATGCTTGCAGTTGAAGTGCGTTCTGGTTGCAGTAAAAAAGTAGAACAGGGCGCATTTTTTTCTGCACGGAACTGTACTGGAACGCATTAAAGCTCATAAAAACCGCACCGGAACGCACCAAAAATGCACATGTCTCTATTTAAATTGAAGAAAAAGAGTGGGAAAGAAATGAAATGGGATGCATAAAAAATGCACCAGCACATGCCAAAAACGCGCCAAGAATGAGCATACAAAAACGCATCCGGAGCGCATGTGGACTGCGTTTATATAGTGTGAACTGACTCTTAGGGCCTCTTCACACTCCATGTGTTTCAGTTGCTTTTTTTCTGCATCCAAAACGCACAGAAAGTAGGTGATAGGGTGGTCAGAGTCATGTGCGTTTTTGGTGTGCTCTTTGATGCGTTTTACCACGTTCCAGTACAGTTCTGTGCAGGAAAAATGCCGCCTGTTCTACTTTTTTTTCCTGCACCCGGAACGCACTGGAACTGCGAGCGCCGATGTGACCGATGACGCTGACCACCATATCACCGACTTTCTGTGCGTTCTGGATGCATTCTTGTATGTGCAGTTTTGGCTCGTTGTGGTGCGTTTTTGACGCGTTTTTTTTCTTCAATGTAAATAGTGACAATGCGTTCCGGTGCGTTTTTGATGTGTTTTATCGCATTCCAGTACAGTTCTGTGCAGGAAAAATTCCTGTTCTACTTTTTTTCTGCATCCGGAACGCACCGGAACCACAAACACTGATGGGAACTATGACACTGACCACCATATCACCTACTTTATGGGTGTTTTGGATGCAGAAAAAAAAGCAACAGAAACGCATGAAGTGTGAAGTGGCCCTAAGAGTCGGTTCACACAACTGAAACAGTCCACGTGTTCTGGATGCGTTTTTGTATGGGCATTTTTGGCACATTATGGTGAGTTTTTGACACATTCCAGTGCGATTTTTATGCATCCCATTTAATTTTTTTCCCACTCTTTTTCTTTAATTTAAACAGGGACATGTGCGTTCCAGTGCGTTTTTGGTGCGTTCTTACCACGTTCCAGTACAGTTCTGTGCTGGAAAAAATGCCGCCTGTTCTACTTTTTTTTCTGCAACCGGAACGCACTGGAACTGCAAACGCTGATGTGATCTCTGACACTGACAACCATATCACCTACTTTCTGTGCGTTTTGGATGCAGAAAAAAAGCAACTGAAACGCATGGAGTGTGACCCGGCACCCTAAGAGTCAGTTCACACTACAGAAACACAGTCCACATGCGCTCCGGATGCGTTTTTGTATGCACATTTTTGGCATGTGCTGGTGCGTTTTTTATGCATCCCATTTCATTTTTTTCCCACTCTTCTTCAATTTAAATAGGGACATGTGCGTTTTTGGTGCGTTTTTTATGTGTTTTACTGCGTTCCAGTACAGTTCTGTGCAGGAAAAATGCGGCCTGTTCTACTCCTACCTCTCTATCTCCCCCATTGTCGCTATGCTGCGCAGGAAGATGCACCAAACAGACGTCGCCTACATCTCATGAATGAAAACCAAGCAAAGAACAGGATTGGTGGGTGTCGGTGCGCTTACCTGTGGATCTCAGGAGGATCCCTCTTGATTTTTGCGCTGGATTCCATCACTTCTTTGGCGACTCGTCCGCTATTAGAAGAAGAGAAATATGTCAAACTTTTATTGTTCCAACTTAAGACTTTTGTCTTTTTTTCAGCCAGACTAACTATATATACAGTGCAGGAAATGTGTATTTGCTCCCCAGCTGATGTGGAATGTTCGCCCCTCACTCAGAAATGATCGGTCTAACAATGGAATGTTCGCCCCCTCACACAGAAATGATCGGTCTAACAATGGAATGTTCGCCCCTCACACAGAAATGATCGGTCTAACAATGGAATGTTCGCCCCTCACACAGAAATGATCGGTCTAACAATGGAATGTTCGCCCCTCACACAGAAACGATCGGTCTAACAATGGAATGTTCGCCCCTCACACAGAAACGATCGGTCTAACAATGGAATGTTCGCCCCTCACACAGAAACGATCGGTCTAACAATGGAATGTTCGCCCCTCACACAGAAACGATCGGTCTAACAATGGAATGTTCGCCCCTCACACAGAAACGATCGGTCTAACAATGGAATATGTTCGCCCCTCACACAGAAATGATCGGTCTAACAATGGAATGTTCGCCCCTCACACAGAAATGATCGGTCTAACAATGGAATGTTCGCCCCTCACACAGAAACGATCGGTCTAACAATGGAATGTTCGCCCCTCACACAGAAACGATCGGTCTAACAATGGAATGTTCGCCCCTCACACAGAAATGATCGGTCTAACAATGGAATGTTCGGTGTAACACTGAGAGACAGAATACAACAACAAATTCAGCAGAAATGCGTCTAACAAATGATGACGGATCTGCATGTTCATGAGGGAAAGAAGGATTTCATCCCCTTCACAAAACATGACTTAGCACTTTCAGCGCTGTCACACTTTGAATGACAATTGCGCGGTCATGCAACACTGTACCCATGTGAATTTAGCATTTTTTTGAGACAGATAAAGCTTTATTTTGGTGGTATTTATTCACCGCTGGGATTTTTTTTTTGCTATGTAAATGAAAAAGTCCACAAATTTTGAAAAAAAGTGTTTTGCAAATAAATAGTATTTCATCATAAATATTGGCCAAAATGTATTCTGTTATCTTTTTAGTAAGAAAAAAATAACCCAAATTAGTTTATAACCAAAAATTAAAATTTTTAAACATTTTATTTATTTTTTTTTTTATTTTTTTACATTATTATTTATGTTTTGTTTTTTTTTTACATACTGCCACCCTTGCAGTACAGTCACCATGGTGACACTGTACTACTTGTGGGGGGTGATGAAGATTTTGTTTATTTTTTTTGTTTACACTGATTGCTTTTACCCCCATAAAGGATGTAAAAGCGATCATTTCTCCTTCTCTCTGGCTGCATTCCTGCAGCCATTGGGAAATACTGTGTGAGCTGCAATTGGTCACAGCTTGTCACATGGTACAAGGCTGTTGTGAATGGCCCTGTACCATGTGATCTCTGTGATCATTCACAGATTTCACACGTAGTAAGCAATGATGTCAGAAGTGACATCTTGTGTACTACTCTCTGCATGTGACCACTGATTGGCCAATCAGCAATCAGATGATCAGGACCTCGCACAGAGGTCCCGTACAACGATCGGTGTTCCACTGTGTCTGGAGGACACAGCGGGCACCAGATTGTGGTGCTGCGTGCTCCCAGGGAGCGCACACAAGCAGGGGGTGTGGAGGCTGTTTATATACAACGGCCGAACGGGAGGTGGTTAAGGATGATGATCATATGAAGCCATTTATTATCATATTGTTGTTTGGCTCCTTTTTAAATCCTAATAACAGAAATCCCCCAAATGGCTCGGATCAGAAGTCTCCGCCCCCGGATCAGAAGTCTCCGCCCCCGGATCAGAAGTCTCCGCCCCCAGATCAGAAGTCTCCGCCCCCGGATCAGAAGTCTCCGTCCCCTGGCTCCAATTGCACCACATACAAATCGCATGTGAACCCGGGCCTATTCTCGCCTACTGGTTCCTGGTTCCCAAACCTCTGGGTATGAAGCATGCACCCTGCGCCTTTTGAAGGACAGTGCAGGCACAAAGAGGTGGGTGGGGGAGGGGAGTTGCAGTGCTCCCACATCTGCTTGAATGGGTTGCACTTCACACCTTCACAATAATTCAAGCGAATGGGGGCGCACTGCAACCACCCCTCAACCGCGCAAGGCAATGTTTGTGATGTGGCAGTCCAGCATTTAGAGGGTTAAAAAAAATTGGCGACACAATGGTCCTCACTGTCAAAAGCTTTCTGAAGAGCAATTTGAACACACATCGCTCTTCAGAGGGCAACACAAGTATAACTGAGGCCTATAAGGGCTACTACAGGGACTACTATCTCTTACACTCACTGAGATTTGTGAAATTAACATTGTATGTCTGAACCATATACTATATATATATATACACGGCTCAAAACAATGAAAGGAAGACTCTGAAAACCCATCAGATCTCAATGGGGAGGAATCTCCTGCTGGATCTCTATACTGACATGGATGGGGGATGGGTGAGGAATGTAAGGACACCCCATTGTTTGATGGAAATGATCGACCTACAGAGGACTGAATTCAAAGACACCCCGAAAATCAAAGTGAAGAAATGATGCAGCAGGCGAGTCCATGTTGGTGAAATGTCATTGCAGCAACTCAGAATGGTCCTCAGTAGTTTGTGTGGCCCCCACGTGCTTGTATGCATGCCTGACACCGTCGGGGGAGGCTCCTAATGAGACCACGGATGGTGTCCTGGGGGATTTCCTCCCAGATCTGGACCAGGGCATCACTGAGCTCCTGGACAGTCTGAGGTGCAACCTGGCGGCGTCGGATGGACAGAAACATGACATCCCAGAGGTGGTCTGTTGGATTTAGGTCAGGTGAGCGTGGGGGCCATTCAATGGTATCAATTCCTTCATCCTCCAGGAACTGCCTGCATACTGTCACCACATGAGGCCGGGCATTGTCTGCACCAGGAGGAACCCGGGACCCACCACACCAGGAGGAACCCAGGACCCACTGCACCAGGAGGAACCCAGGACCCACTGCACCATAAGGAACCCAGGACCCCCTACACAAGGAGGAACCCAGGACCCACTGCACCAGCGTAGGGTCTGACAATGGGTCCAAGGATTTCATCCCGATACCTAATGGCAGTCAGGGTGCCTCTGTCTAGCCTGTAGAGGTCTGTGTGTCCCTCCATGGATATGCCTCCCCAGACCATCACTGACCCACCACCAGAACAGTCATGCTGAACAATGTTACAGGCAGCAGAACGTTCTCCACGGCTTCTCCAGACCCTTCATGTCTGTCACATGTGCTCAGGGGGAACCTGCTCTCATCTGTGAAAAGCACAGGGTGCCAGTGGTGGACCTGCCAATTCTGGTGTTCTATGGCCAATGCCAATCCAGCTCTATGGTGCCGGGCAGTGAGCACAGGACCCACTAGAGGACGTCGGGCCCTCAGGCCACCCTCATGAAGTCTGTTTCTGATTGTTTGGTCAGAGACATTCACACCAGTGGCCTGCTGGAGGTCATTTTGTAGGGCTCTGGCAGGGCTCATCCTGTTCCTCCTTGCACAAAGGAGCAGATACTGGTCCTGCTGATGGGTTAAGGACCTTCTACAGCCCTGTCCAGCCCTCCTAGAGTAACTGCCTGTCTCCTGGAATCTCCTCCATGCTCTTGTCTCCTGGAATCTCCTCCATGCTCTTGTCTCCTGGAATCTCCTCCATGCTCTTGTCTCCTGGAATCTCCTCCAAGCTCTTGTCTCCTGGAATCTCCTCCATGTTCTTGAGACTGTGCTGGGAGACACAGCAAACCTTCTGGCAATGGTACGTATTGATGTGCCATCCTGGAGGAGTTGGACTGCCTGTGCAACCTGTGTAGGGTCCAGGTATGGCCTCATGCTACCAGTAGTGACACTGACCCTAGCCAGATGCAAAATTAGTGAAAAACAGTCAGAAAAGGTGAGTAGGGAAAAAATGTCAGTGGCCTCCACCATTCCTGTTTTGGGAGTCGTCTCATTGTTGCCCATATAGTGCACCTGTTGTTAATTTCATTACCACCAAAGCAGCTGAAACTGATTACCAACCCCCTCTGCTACTTACCTGACCAGATCCATATCCCAGGAGGTTCACTGACTTGATGCTAGACTCGGATCACAAAGTTTTCCTTTCATTTTATTGAGCCGTGTACATTTTATCCAAAATGACTTCATAAACATCACTGCTACACAGCTGAACCATGAGGACAGACATTACGGGGCTCTATATCAGTCCGCTTCTAGCGCCCATCGCCTCCACTCACCTGTACCGGAAGCGGCTTCCCTTGAAGAACAGATTACTACTGGAGACCGTACGGACCTGGTTGGAGTTCTCCAGTCTAAGAATGAAGTCATAGAAATGTTCAGTACAGAGCCGAGGAGACACAAAACATCAGCAAAGTGATCCAGAGAGGAGGTGATGGAATACTGACTTGTAGAATGACTGGTTCTCAACGCCACATTTCCACAAGTGCTTGCAGGCCTCTGGAGTGGGAGCGATGAAGGTCAACACAAGACGCTTCTCCTGGAAAAGACAGAACTCAGAAGTAAACTCCGCCTCCCACGGGTTGGATCGTACGTATAATATATATAATAAAATTATCTTTTTTTTTTTTGTACTCCAAGGTCTGAGAATATAATGGAGCGCTGTCAGATCATGCCATGACTACAAAGTATGGTGAGATACTTGCGGCATGGGGGTGCTGGAGTATCACAGCTCTCGCACTAGCTGGCGTATATTATCATTGACCCATGTACATTATATATATCCTGACTGACTGGTATATAGAAGGCCTATATGACTGATGAATACACACACTCTCTGGGCTCCATGTACATACAGAAGCCAGTACATCATCCTTGGATTTGTATGTTCACGTTCTTCACATTGAAACATAGAGATGAAGGAAACCTGGATCATTGCTAAGGGGTACATTGTCTCCTGCAACACAGCCGGAGGTCAAATAAGGGGGCTGTCACTGCTGACCCCTCCATCTGAAAATCTTAGTTGACTGGCTCTATGCTGATCCCCTGACGTCAGTCATATCCGGATCACTGACCTGGAACTAGCATGCAGTGAAGTCAGGAGATCCTTATGTGCATACGTGCTCCATACGTGATCCAGGTGAGTGACTCAGAAAGCTGCTGGGTCAGCATGACCACCATTTTCAGAAGGAGGTCATCAATGGCAGCCTCAGTAGTTCATGGGAGGGGCAAAACCCTATCTACAGTCATGGCCAAAAATATTTCTGTCAGATAACGCAGCACTTCACCCAGAAAATTGTTGCAATGACAAAGGTTTCGGCATTCTCGTGTTTATTTCTTTTGATGTATTGGTATGACACAAAAAAGTCTTGACACATTCCACGCAAAACCCCAAAAATAGACTGGACAAAATTATTGGCACCCTCCGTGTAATATTTGGTGGCACACCCCTTGGAAAAAATAAGTGAAATCAATGGCTTCCTGTGACCATCAATGAGTTTCCTCCACCTCTCTACTGGAATTTTGGATCGCTCTTCTTCCTCCAACTGCTCCAGGTCTCTCGGATTGGAAGGGTTCCTTTTCCCAACTGCTGTTCTGAGATCTCTCCACAGGAGCTCTATGGGATGGAGATCTGGACTCATTGTTGGTCAGTTCAGTCCTCTCCAGCAATTTGTCTGAAACCATTTCTGGGTGCTTTTTGATGTGTGCTTTGGGTCATTGTCCTGCTGGAAGACCCATGACCTCTGTCAACGGAGACCCAACTTTCTGACACCAGGCCCTACATTGCACCCCGGAATTCTTTGGTAGTCTTCAGATTTAATGCACACGGTCAAGACATCCAGTGCCTGAAGCAGCAAAGAAACCCAAAACATCAGTGACCCCCCACCATGTGTGACTGGGGGGACTGGATTCTTTTCTTTAAAGGTCTCCATTTCTTTTTAAAAAACAGTAGAATGATGGACTACCAAAAAGCTACCATTTTGTTTTATCTGTCCACAGCACATTCTCCCAAAAGGATTTTGGCTTCCTCAGGTAAGTTTTGGCAAACTCCAATCTGACTTCCAATATGTTTCTGTGTCAGCAGTGGGGTCCTCCTGGGTCTCCTACCATATTTCTGTGTCAGCAGTGGGGTCCTCCTTGGTCTCCTACCATATTTCTGTGTCAGCAGTGGAGTCCTCCTGAGTCTCCTACCATATTTCTGTGTCAGCAGTGGGGTCCTCCTGGGTCTTCTACCATAATTCTGTGTCAGCAGTGGGGTCCTCCTGGGTCTCCTACCATACTTCTGTGTCCGCAGTGGGGTCCTCCTGGGTCTCCTACCATATTTCTGTGTTATTAATGGGGTCCTCCTGGGTCTCCTACCATAATTCTGTGTCAGCAGTGGGGTCCTCCTGGGTCTCCTACCATACTTCTGTGTCAGCAGTGGGGTCCTCCTGGGTCTCCTACCATACTTCTGTGTCAGCAGTGGGGTCCTCCTGGGTCTCCCACCATATTTCTGTGTCAGCAGTGGGGTCCTCCTGGGTCTCCCACCATATTTCTGTGTCAGCAGTGGGGTCCTCCTGGGTCTCCTCCCATAGTGTCCCTTTTCATTCAGATGGCGACGTATAGTGGGAGTGGACACAGTTGTACCCGGTGCCTGAAGGTCAGCTTGGATTTGTCTGGAAGTCGAGGTTCTTTAGCCACCATTCCAACAATCCTTTGTTGCAATCTTTAATCAATTTTTCTCTTTCATCCACATCCAGGGAGATTAGCTACAGTGCCATGGGCTGTACACTTGACAACGTTGCGCACAGTGGACACAGAAACATTAAGATCTCTGGAGATGGACTTGTCACCTTGAGGTTGTCCATGCTTTTCCACCATTTTTGTTCTCCAATCCTCAGACAATTCTTTGCTGCTCTTCCTCTCCTCCATGCTCCATGTGGCACACAGAGACACCCAACAGTAAGGTGGAGGCCATTTGTCACCATTGTCCCCGGTTGTCGATGGGATTTCTATATTTTCAGCTGCTGGTCATTGATATGGGGGAGTCTAATGACAAATTACAGGAGCATCACAAACTTAGAATGCAATTATTTCTTTGAATTTTGAGAAGGTGCCAATAATTTTGTCCGGTCCATTTTTGGGGTTTTGCGTGAAATGTGTCAGATTTGGCTTTTTGTTTCTCTACTTTTTTGTGTCATACCGATACAAACAAAAGAAATAAACATGAGAATGCTGAAATATCTGTAATTGCAGAAATTTTATGGGCAAAGTGGAGCTTATCTGACAGAAAAGCAGGTGGGACAAGATTTTTGGCCGTGACTGTAACTATATAGGTATTATCACAATGCCAGCCCCTGATGATGGCCCTCAGGCCGAAACGCGCTGGGCAGAGCCAGCAGCAGTAACATAGGACATCATATTGGAAGCAGATTGTTGGAAGTGTCTATGTATGTTTTTACTATTATATTTAAATGTTTTTTATGGGTTATACTATGGGATATCTGTTTTGTGTATCTCCATTGTGAGTGACACCATCTGCTAAAGAGAGTTACGGAGGGGGAAAAAGGTAATAGTTGTTTCTGATTAAGAGAAGAGCAGGTGATTGAGAGTCTGGAATTAATTGCCCAGTTGGTCACCACTGCAAACAAGACCTACTATGATCTAGAGCAGTGTTTCTCAACCGATGTGCCGCAGTAACCTGGGGTTTGTCAAGGGTGTCGTACTTTGGCACAGCATCCTGCGTTTCCATTGTGCAGACGGGCCATCCACCAGCATTATGGAAACTTGTGACACTAATCCAGGGCGGGCAGCATTCAGGGCAGCCCCAGCATTCATACGTCCGCCTCAGTCTAGACCTGCTCTCCCTCCCATCCACAGCCATGCTGCACCAGCTATGCCATGGATTGGGTAGCGCCCTCCTAGTTGGGCTGTTAGGTAGACTTAGTTTTTTGGCTCTTCTGCAATCAAGGGAGTAGTTATTGTTAGTTTTGGTCTATTCGGGGTTTCAAATGCTTGGAGTTTGATTGCTTCCCCATGCCTGTAGAAGACTTTTTTAGAGCTTGGGGAAGGAGAATTCAAATAACCAGCATGAATATTGATCAGGTCTTAGCCAATCCCTGAGGAGGTGTGCCCGGATGGTGGCTGGGAAGCTTATAAATAGTCTGAAGCCCAGGAGAGATTTCCCCAGGAAGGAGAATCCAAACCTAAGGGGATTATTGCCCCTGCGGCAGCCTGTGGAGTTCGTGTTACTGTTCTGTGAGGTCTCAGTAGTGGCAGAGCTGGGGACCTGGAAGCGATCTGGAGCTGACTGCAGGACTTCACTAAAGAGATCTGGTCTACAGAATGATTGCTTGACTCATTTGGCAGTGTCCAGAGGAAGCTGGAAGGTGGCAGCCCGGTGACTTGTGAGTACTGACCCTAAAATGATTCCTGGTGACTGTGTGCTTTTGGGTTACAAGTTAGTCCACAATGAGGACTAACTGGCAGCAGTGCTGTTTCAGTTTCATTGCAGAGCCCACATGGACATGTGTGAAGAATTTGTTTTATTATAGGAGCTAGAAGCAATGTGTCCCAATCATCCTTCATGAATAGTGTCCTATGTACGAGGCAGCCTGTCAAGAGCCATGACCTCGCCATCCCATGACCAGGCTTTGCAGGATTCTCTCTACTATCACAGTGTGATAGAACAAAGGGTTAGAACAGCTTTTCTCAAATGTATTACTCCAGAGAAACCCTTGAAATAATGTTCAGGTCTCATGGAACACCTGCTAAAACCAACGTATTTGGATGAACGTTCTATATGCCGGTTACCAGTGGTAAGCATGCCTCCCTTACAGAGGAAGAAGGTGTAATTCTGCCGGCCCCTGGTGTTGTCGGCCCCTGAACTATGTAGGAGGCAAGCAGGCACAGCTCAAGGAGCCCCTAGCCACCTCTAGAGGAACCCTAGTTGAGAATGGCTGGTCTAGAACATCTCTGTAGGAGGTAAGCAGGCACAGTTCAAGGAGTCCCTAGCCACCTCTAGAGGAACCCTAGTTAAGAATGGCTGGTCTAAAACATCTCTGTAGGAGGTAATCAGGCACAGTTCAAGGAGCCCCTACCACCTCTAGAGGAACCCTAGTTGAGAATGGCTGGTCTAGAACATCTCTGTAGGAGGTAAGCAGGCACAGCTCAAAGAGCCCCTAGCCACCTCTAGAGGAACCCTAGTTGAGAATGGCTGGTCTAGAACATCTCTCTGTAGGAGGTAAGCAGACACAGCTCAAGGAGCCCCTAGCCACCTCTAGAGGAACCCTAGTTAAGAATCGCTGGTCTAGAACATCTCTGTATGAGGTAAGCAGGCACAGCCAAGGAGCCCCTAGCCACCTCTGGAGGAACCCCAGTTGAGAATGGCTGGTCTAGAACATCTCTGTAGGAGGTAAGCAGGCACAGCTCAAGGAGCCCCTAGCCACCTATGGAGGAACCCTAGTTTGAGAATGTCTGGTCTAGATCATCTCTGTAGGCGGTAAGCAGGCATGGCTGAAGGAGCCCCTAGCCACCTCTAGAGGAACCCCAGTTGAGAAT